GTGAACTATTCATACATACCTATGTATTAATTTTAAGTATTTTTAAAATATTTTTTGTGAAAGTAATGTTAACTCATTGTGCCAAATTAAGATTATCCCTAAAGTAGTAGATGGTGTTTTAAATGTTATAACAATTTTGTAAATAGTTTTATTCTATTCTAATAAATAAAATTTGCTTAAATATTTATAGCGTTTTCGACTGGTGAAACTGGTGCGCACTTTTTAACACTCGGTGCAACATTTGTTTTCGACTCGCAAGGGCAGTGCGAACCGGGTCAGTTTTTGAATTTTCGGTTGGAATCAGTTGAACTCAAAAAAATGAACTGGTGCGCACTTTTGTGAACCGAGTGCAGAGACAGGTTTTCAGTTTCAGTTCAGTCGTAACAAATATGGCGATGGCAAATGAAGAGTTGTTTCTAAATTGTGTAAATTTTGTAGAATTTGTAAAGAAATATTGAAAACTTCTTCGTCAATTCAGACAAAGAAGATTTATTTAAGGCCAAGTGTAATAAAACTAAACTGCTAAAAATAAAAGATTACATTGAATCAGTGGTGTCGCACCTGGATGACTCCCAGATAGGTACCATAAATATTCTTGTAAGTCCTGTATATGCATAGTATACGCTGACATCTTAAGTACTTAGACAAAAGTAAGTTTATGTTAATATATTGAGAAAATATATTATAATATAATATTAAATATATATTTAAAATGAAAGCTTGGTTTGGATCTTGTTTGGAATTTGGAAGGTACTTCTATTTATTACTTTGATGACAACTGTCAAATATAATACAACGCACTGGTGGTCAACTGCGTTTTCGGTTGAATTAAGTTTGTATGACGTCACTAAATTAAACCAGTGCTGATCAACGAAAACTCGCACTTTACGAGTGTGAACTGAGTGTGACCAGTTGAAAACGCTATTAGTTACATTTTAATCATTTTGGTTAGAAATTCATCAATTTTTAGTTTTAAAAAATCAGTAATAAAATTATTTTTTTCTAAAATACTTCGGAATTCATCTCTTCATGGTAATCTCCCATCTTTTTACCTTCAAAAACCAATAATGCATTTCCTACAAAACCTTCAGAATCAGCATGTAAAATAATAAGGTGTCTTCCCTTTCTTGTAAGGCTTTTCAGGAATTGCTACCTTTAATAGTACTCAGTGTAGAAGGATCCATAATTGTAGATTTTCAATACAATTGCTTACTGAAGAACTATTATTTACGAAATAAAGTAAAAAACTAAGTAATGGACGAGATATAAAATTATAAAATGTCAGAACTGTCAACAATATCAATTATTAGCTGATGTTCAGCTAAAAAGTAATGTGTGAAACTGACTGTAATCTGACCAATTAGAAGACTACAGAATTGCCAACTTAAATTCAAATCGCTCCTCATAGTTTAAAAACAGAGTATAATAGTTCATTAACAATCGAACTAGGATATACTCCTCTAGTTTCACTTTTTGCACTAGTTGCATAAATAACTATTATTTTAATTGTAATAAAAATCTTAAATTACAAAATTGTGTTGCTATTTTTATTTACTTATTTGCAAGTCTAAAGTCGAAAAATATATGCAATGTTATTTTAGTTTAGTTATTTAGGTAATATACAAATGTTTAAATCATTCAAATTTAACTTTTTAATCCAATAAATGTTTTTTGTTGGGAAACTGCTTTAATTCTTATTTAAATAAGAGCCTACGCCACTGGTATATCGATCTGGAGCAACGGAGAAGGAATATTTTAAAGTGAGGCAGACGATGACTAGTTGATGACGCCCGTGGCTTTTTCTAAGTTGAATCGTACTCTACACATGATTCATTTAAAAAACATCTAAAAACGTAAAAATATAGTTCAAATAAGTTTTTTGGCAGTGTCGTAAAATTTATAGGAGATGAAAATGTTATTTATCCATTCCGTGCGCCACTGGTAAAGTTTATTCAACTGATTGTTTTGCTGATAGGTGTATCTTATGACACCAAAAATGTTTGCCGAATTTAGTTATAATCGCGCTGTAGTGGATCGAGAACATTTATTGATAGTGGCATAGTTATAATGGCATAATTACGTACGAAAAATAAGAAAAAACTGCAAACCGCACAAAGATTGAGTTTTAAAAAGAGAACAATTGAAATGTAAATTTGTTGGCTGAATTGAAATTTGAAAATAGTAACTGGTTCAACTATTTACATAATAGATGAAGAAACCTACTTAGAATTATTATACATAGTGATTCCCTTAATAAAGTATCGGCACTAGCACTGGATTTTTTTTATTCTTTAGCTGTTTTAAATTCGGAACGAACCTTTCATGAAATATATCTGTACCTCAGAGCCAAAGTATTATTTATTTACGAGAAATTCCACTTTGAAGATTTTTAAAGTACATTTTATTTTCTGTAGAGTTCAGAATTCGCTAAGGCAGTTGTGAACTTTTTTTATTTATTTTGATTTCTTGTAAAGTTAAAATTTGTGCAGTTAGATGTTTTTTTTTGTCAAACAGACTTGGCATAGTCTGACGTAGAGAATAATTTTTAGTTATGGGCTTGTCCTCATGCCAAGTCTGGACTATCACTATCAATAATTTATTTAGGAAGGAATATTTTTATTTTACAAAATCACAGACAAGTTAGTTTCAAATATGTTATAATAAATCATTATTATTATTGGATAACTATGAAATCTAAGTTGTAACGAAGACTTAGGAATTTACTGTTTCTTCGTGATAATTTTATTTTTTCTTGTTTCAAGCTTTTATATTGCGAAATCTTGATGGTACCTACTGTAACAATATTTGTAGGTGTTCATATTTTTTTGAAGATATAGGCCTTGGTTTATTTTGCGGACAAAGGAGTTCATTTAGCATGTTCAAAGATCTCTCCTTTTCTCTGTTTAAATCGACGACAAAATATTCTTCATAAAAATTTGTCTTATAAAACAGCATGCGAGGACTTTCTCCTCGTATCTGCTATTGCAGAGCATTTGAGATCAAAAAATCAATCGGTACCACATTCAGATTTTTTCTTAAAACGTAAATTGCATTGGGTCGTTTGTGCAGTTTCTCAAAGCATCAGCGGCATACCTAGAAGATTCCGTCGTTTCTTGTATATTCGAGACGCGGTCCGACTCTCTTCACACGTCAGCGTTGCTTCGATCATGAATCGAGTAGCAGACTTCCAAGGTCGCGCTTACACAGGGTTGGCTCCGCGTCACACTACCAACATATTCCTATTTTGACAGGAGCAATTGTCGGACCTTAAAGTAATATTATTAATTCCAAATATTATCCATATCTCAAAGTGGTCCGAAGTAGATTAAAGGGAAGTAAAAAGCTCAAAGTCAGGCAAAAAAATTTTTGTGAGTAGGTACAATCACTATGTGTCCACAGAAAAATAAGTATATTGAATTAAAATGTAAAATTTAATTGTAAAAAATGGCACAGACTGCCTCCCTCATTCGAGGTTGGATCCAGTTCTAGTTTGAATTTCGCCTGCCTCCATCTGATGAAGGTGGTTTCGAATGAGATAAATTTTGAAGTTCCACATGTGTGCTTAAGGCACCATGTGGAAAGTGTTACTTTTGGGAAATGTGAAATACAGCTACTCCCCCTATCCCCAGTACGAAAGGGGTAGACGGAGTCCCGCTCGTGTAAACCCTTAAGCCTAAGCTTAAGGGGTATCATTAAATATTAACTTTTTTAGAAAAATTCACTTGTGACACTTTCGTCATCCAACGGCTACATGGTGCCTTAAGGACACATGTGGAACTTCAAAATTTATCTCATTCGAGCATCTTCATCAGATGGAGGCAGGCGAAATTCAAACTAGAACTGGATCCAACCTCAAATGAGAGAGGCAGTCTGTGCCATTTTTTACAATTTACTTAAATTTTACATTTTAATTCAACATACTTATTTTTCTGTGGACACATAGTGATTGTACCTACTCAATGTTTTGCCTGATGATGACCTTTTAGGTCGAAAGCGCTTGCAACCTAATAAATTTATGTGGTCGACAGACTTTGAGCTTTTTACTTCCCTTTAATATTATTAATGTTCGTCCCATATTATCCGCACTCATCGAAGAATTAACTTGATATGAACTTGACATATAAACAAGAATCAGCTAGTTAACTGGACTTTTGAGCAATATTGGACTTGGGACAAGTTTGGCTCTGGGACAAGTTTGGCTCTGGGATACAGATAAATAGTTTATCCTAAACTGATTTTTCTGATTTTTTGTTACAGTATAGCCTCTGGTATTTTTTTTTCATATGCCTTATTTCTTATTGTATTATTAATGTATTAATAATGTGATGCATTGATTTTGCATTTCATAAATAGGAGTGGCTTCTATATAATTAAATTGGATTACAAAATCTTTATTGTTTGTATCCATTTTTTTATTATTAATAAATAAATACAATAATTATAACAAATTAAATAATTTAAAAATTTTATAAAAATATACTACTGCTAATAAATTAAGTGCTATTAATTGACATAACAAAAATTATGCAATTATCTGAGAGAGGGGGTTTTCAGGAACCCTAACTTTCATTTTTACTTTAATAACATTTCTACAACCAATAAATATACATACCTAAGAGTAGTCTTTATATCATCAAGTCTCTTTAATGAAATGGGAATTGAAGCACATTGTTAGGTCAATAATGAACTGTACATTATTGTTCTTCTATTTGTATTTAAAGTACCTTTTCCACCAATGTCTTCAATTATAAAATATTCAGAGGAAGAACACTTTTATTCAATATAATTTTCTATTGTGGAAATATGTAAAATTCATACCAAAATAGGTGAGTTAAAGCGAATTAAATAAAATTAATTGGAAGCAAAATAGAATTTGGATTATAATAGGATAACGGGATGAAATTGGATAACGTAAATGGTTTTTTCCACAGCACATAAGCAACATAATAGCAACATAATAATTTACCAAATTATATTTAAATATTTTTTTTTCTTTTCAGTTGAGGTACGAAACTCACCATCCTTCGCCTACCATCAGAGATTTTGATAATAGAGTATCTGAAGCAGATGCATATCTACAACTTATGATAGACCAAACTAGGGTAAGAAATATGAAACTTATCATCTTCTAATTATATTCTTTAACAATAAAAATTTTTATGAATCTATTTTATCACTATTATTATTAATATTATTATTATTATTATTATTATTATTATTATTATTATTATTATTATTATTATTATTATTATTATTATTATTATTATTATTATTATTATTATTATTATTATTATTATTATTATTATTATTATTATTATTATTTATTATTATTATTATTATTATTATTAATTATTATATTATTAATTTTGTGTCATCGGCATCAACTACTTTGGTTATTAGCCTCGTGTTCTGTGTAGGCTTTGTTATTTTTTCCAAGCGCCACATTAGGGAAACCCAACAGTGAATAGTCGAATGTGGAATCCTACCTATGCATTAGAATTAATATTTTTTTTATTAATTAAAAATCCTTGCCACCGGTGGAATTTGATCCTGAGACCTTTCGATCTCAAAGTCATGACTCTAACCACTGAGCCAACCCAACCACTATAGTTACAGTTATAAAAATTTCATTGAATCTTTTTTTATTATTTATTATTAATATTTATTATTATTATTTATTATCATTATTTATTTTGGTGGGTGAGGTTTTCTGGGTTTTCCTCACCTGTAAGTGAAATGCACCATCAATCATCTTTAAGTCGCCACGGCAAATAATAATAATAGCCGTCCCTTCCCCCCACACAAGCTCAGCTTTTGGGATTAAAATTCACTCGTAATGGGGTGAATATCATGGGCTTCAATTGCTAAGGTTATCTCGCCTCTTATTCTGTGTAGGCTTTGTTACTGTTTACCAGCGCCACTTTAAGAACAGCACTGTTAATTAGAACCCAACAGTGAATGGTCGAGTGGGGAATCCTACCAAATCATCAGAATTAATTTTAAATAATTAAATTAAATAAAAAAATTCCGGCCAACGGTGGGATTCGAACCTGGGACCCTTGGATCCGCAGGCAGAGAGTCTACCACTGAGCCACCCACCCTGTTATTATTATTATTATTTTTTTTGTGTCATCGGCATCGACTGCTAAGGTCATTAGCCTCGTGTTCTGTGTAGACTTTGTTACTGTTTCCCAGCGCCACTTTAGGAACAGCACTGTTAATTAGCACCCAACAGTGAATGGTCGAGTGGGGAATCCTAATTTTAAATAATTAAATTAAATTTAAAAAAATCCCGGCCAACTGTGGGATTCGAACCTGGGACCCTTGGATCCACAGGCAGAGACTCTACCGCTGAGCCACCCATCCCTTATTATTATTGTTTAATATTGAATATTTTTTATTAAATTAAATCAGCACAAATAATACGTAACAATGTTTAAAAATTTTTTATATCTCCTGTAAAATTTCGTCAGATGGAGTTACGCAATTTTCTCCTGAAGGCGACGTTACGCACAATTTAATCAAAAGTTACTTATTAGGGTGTACACAACAAGTTAAAGTAGATGATGTTAGTGAAATTAGAGAAGTAACCTTCGGTGTTCCGCAAGGAACAGTCTTAGGTCCATTACTTTTTAGTTTGTGTATTAATTCACTTTAGAAAATGAAAACGGAAGGCAATGTTATCAGCTTTGCAGATGATACAGCCAATCACTTTATGAGTTCCCAACAAGAGCACATACATGATTTAATTAAGAAACAACCAAACATGTAAAAGTATAGTCCAAATAAGTTTTTGGACAGTGACGTAAAATTTAGAAGGGGAGAAAGGGTTACTTATCAGTGTTTTAAGTCACTGGTAAAGTTTATTTAACTGATTATTAATAAGTGTATCTTAGGAAACCAACAATGTTTACCGAATTTAGTAAAATTATACTGAGAAATAAAAAAAATATGGCCAATAACAATTTTTAAATTTTCAACCTAGTATTTCGGAAACCAGTAATATTTTATCTAAGCACGTTTCATTTAATCGTCTTATTTTTAAGAGAATCTTCAGTTGTTCTGTGTCCCATTCTTAATGAAACACCCTGTATAAGTACAAAATTATTCGATTTTCTACCACATAAGAGACTCAGCTTCGTACCATATTTATAAGAAAAATATTAGATACAAAGTACAGGTTCAGCATTTTTCAAAATATAATAAATCCGTGATGTTCATAGTTATAAAACTATAAGGTATAGTTGTTCGTAAAAATATTATTAATTCCTGACTGTGACACTAATTAATCTCAATTTTAACCACTATTATTGTGGTTTAACTTGTGTGGAAAGTATTTTAAAACCCCTTACTGCATCCCGTGTCAAATATGGCACACGCAAAATTTTATTTTTTTTTTCTAAGTATTGACGTTACTCAGAACCTTATCTCAAATTGTGCTATATATGGCACACTCGCTTATTGGTTTGTGGCGACGCGGTAGCCAATTCCTTCCAAAATAAACGTACACGATTTAGTTTCATTATGTCTGTTGGAAGTGCAGGTGTTGTTGTTATTTATTGAAAGTTCTGTTGTTGTATGGAATATTGGCTCAAATTTTACGAAACTAAAATAAGTGGTCGAAAGGTAAGAGTTTATATTACAAGTTCTTGAACATATAAACATATTCAACATATTGTTTGCTGAAAAAAATGACTTTGTTTATATGTCCCATATTTGTCACAGGCCGACGTAAGTGGAAAAATAAATAGGGTTCATTTATATTTTCAGATGGATCCAAAAACTTTTTATGGCCTGAAAAAGGTCATAATTCCGGTTACTGACATAAGCGATGACGAAAATTTATCTGACGGCGATGAAAATGACTTAGAAATAAGACAAGAAGTTTTGTGCAATGAATCTGAGAGTGACACTGACTTCTCAGTGACAGGAGAAGTTATTGACGAAACTGATGACACTGATGATGACGTTCCTTTGCTTTCCCGTCTTGAGTCTGCTAGAGCTCAATATATCAAAAAGGCATCTCAGAACCAGAAAGAATATGAATCTTCTACACCTTCCACTTCGTTTGGCAGAAATCACGGGGGAAAAAAATCTGAAAAAGAGAAAATCAAATGGGAAGAAAAAAAATTGCCATTCCTTGAAGATGGCATCAAATTCAAAGGTTCTGAGTCACTACCCAACAATATACAGGATCTTGATGGAATCATCCAATTCTTCAATTTTTTATTTACGGATGAAATTGTTACTTATATAACGGAACAATCGAATCTTTTTGGTGTACAATGTAGGCCAGAAAAGCCACCTAATATCATGAAGGAAGAAATAAAAGTTTTTGTTGGCATATGCATTTATATGTTAATTGTTCAATTGCCAGCTACTAGAAATTATTGGAACAGTTCTTTAGATATTCCTTCTGTTTCTAATGCTATGAGTTGCAATAGATTTGAACAAATTAGAAGGTTTCTCCATTTCAACGATAATATGAATCAACCAAGACTTGGAGAACCTAAATATGACAAACTTTATAAAATTCGACCTCTATTGAACAAAATTAGGAAAAGACTTTTGCTTGTTCCAAAGGAAGAACATATGGCTGTTGACGAACAAATAATCCCAACAAAAGCTAGGTCGAGTTTAAAACAATATAACCCAAAAAAGCCCCACAAGTGGGGCTACAAAGTGTTTGTTTTGAGTGGGGTGTCTGGGTTTAGCTATGATTTCGATTTTTATAGTGGACCTACTCAACTAGAAGACGGCCTTCCCAATTTAGGCGCGAGTTCTAATGTGGTAAATCCTGGAACTTTTAACCTATGTCCAAGTTCTTCCTGGAATATTTCAGCCGATTTCGGCCGTCCGCATTTATTCCGCAACCTCGAACATTTAGAAAATATTTGTGTTTTTTTGTCGCAAAGGCAGTAAACCATTTTTCCTACGACCACTTAGGAAAGTGACACATCTCACACTATATAATCCTATGGAAAGTGCCCTATATCACATGCTTATGAATAAGAATTTACTTTCCACCCGTGTACAAATATGCTACTTTCCGCAGCAGCTGTCACAAAATGTCAAACACATCATTTCTATTTTGATCTTTGTATTGTCCATATTAATACTAAAATCGATATGATTGTTATTGAAATTGTTGTAAATTGGATCCTAGATATTTATCTTTAACAATTATTATTAAAATAATTTTAAAATAACTAAGATATGTTTGCTTTTTATTCTGGTTAAACACATAACCAAGTAGATCATTCAATTGACGTAAGGCCTGTTAGCTTAGATGGTTAGGAGTGTCAAATTTATCAACTTTGCCATTTGAGAACTGGCGAGCGACCGCGTTCAAATCCTGGCAGGGCAAGATTTTTTTTTATTTGTTTAGAAAATATGAAAATTAAATAAATAAGATTATTGTTGATTATTTTTTTAAATACATTTTAATTATTATAATAATAACCTGGTTTTACATTTTTTGATGAAATTATTTTGTGGTCGTAGGAAAAATATTGTACATTACTTGTGTGAAAAGTGATTTTCCACATTCGTGTGATAGTCGCACTCGGCTTGTGCCTCGTGCGACAATATTTCCCACTCGTGTGAAAAATGTCACTTTCCACGCTCGTAATGTAATATACTATACCGAATTTTTGTAAACAGTAGTTGCAATGAGATTTATGGTATGTGAGGCACATCTTATGTGTTGCGGCAAAGATCTTTCCTGTGTAAAATCCCCCATGGGGTATATTTTAAGAACAAAAAAAAATACATGGAAGTGTTTCGGCACTTTTTTCTTATATTAACAATTTTGAAGCAAAAAAATATATTATTTAAGGGGTAGTTTCATCTCCTTAAAATTCGAGTTTTGAAAAATGCCCTGTCATAAAACCTCTACCCTATCAATGAACCTGCATGCTGAAATTCAGCTTTTAACGTCAAACGAGATTAATTAGTCAGTTCACTGAGTATTTTACATTACATATTAGTATAGATTGTTAAATTATTTTCCACTCTATCTTATTTTTAAAGAATATTTCATTACTATTCTCGAGTATTTCCAAAATACTTATAGTTAGTTACATTTAAATGTTTAGTTTTT